CAACTCCAGAATGAGTCTAGGTTGCTCACTATTCAATGATCAGAATAAAAATAAATAAATAAATAAATAAGAACAAAATAATATGCAACAACAACAATAAGGCTAGACCAAGGACATCCAGTAAGTGGCTCCAGCTGCCATAGCCCAAGACCTGAGAGGTTTAAAGCCTCCTGGAATATCATCAGGGTGTAAGTCACCCAGGTCTCATGGGGAAACTCATTACAGACACCATGACATAAGGTGCACTTCCTAGTCCTAGTAGATAACACTGTTTGATCAAAGGAATCTGGACCACACCAACCCTGGCAACTTGCATCAGTGGGTAGACATCATGGGAGATCTCAAAGATATACTGTGCAAATAATGTATGATTTTATGCATGCAATATAATGCTAACTAGGATCAATTTGTAGCAGGTTTTATGAATACATTTATGCATGAAACTTTACTGCAAGCTGAATCATAATTTAGAATTGAAGTTGTTTAACACGCATGTTTTCAATTTTTTTCCACATAAGGAATGTGTGGAAATGTGTCCTATTGTCCAGTTTTTAAGAACTATAGTACACATTCATACTCTGTATTTATTGTGGCAAACAGGATCTAGAGAATGAAATGGGAATAAAGTCATGATTATTTCCCCAACTCTAATTCCATAAATTAGTTAGGAACAAAAGAGGAGGCAGAGACATTTTCTGAGAAATCTAATTCTTTTTTTAAAAAAAGCCTGTGTGTCTTAATACCTTTATTATATTATGTGTGATCTTAGCCTGCTATTTAATTTACAATACTCTTTTATTCAGACGTTCCAATAGTTGTAGGTTGGGGGTTGGAGATTTTTTTGTTTGCTTCTTTGTTTTGTTTTACTGGTAAAGTAAAAGCCTGAGTGTACACAATTTGAAATAAACTTTGGACTGTAATCATCCTACTGTTAGTTGTAGCTGATTTATGAAAATGCTTCATTCAGATGCTAATGAGATTCAAATATCTCAAACCTGAAAGATGATGAAAATTATGGTCCAATTCTAACTAAAGGAGAGGATTATTACATGGATTTCAACAAAGTGATTTCAATTTTTGAAAATGGTGGTATAGATCAGTGATGGCAAACCTTTTAGAGACCAAGTGCCCAAAATGGCCCTGGGCCCACCCCACCCTCGCTCCGTCCCCCAGCTCAGCCCAGCCCACCCCCTGCCCCATCCGCCCGCAGGGCCACTCACCACCTCCATGGCCAACTGCAGTAGATCGCCCCGGTGACCCTGCAGTGCCATGTTGGCCACGCCCTCCGCCCGCACCCCACAGCATCATCTGCACATGATGGGACACGAGGATGGAGTCTTGTCCCCACTGCCCGGCTGCCATGTCCTTGGCTGCGCTGCTCCACGTGGGCCACGTCCAGGGACAACTGTTCTCTGGGGGGCTGCTGGTGAGGAGGGGGCCACAGGGGGAGGCAGGGTTGTGGCGACAGCACACGTGCCCACAGAGAGGGCTCTGAGTGCCCCCCTCTGGCATGCGTGCCATAGGTTCGCCACCACTGGTATACATTTTAAGCTCTGAAAGTCCAAATGCACTGATGTTACTTCAGAGGCAAAGACAAAAGTTTCCATTTTATCTTTGAAGGAAATCCAAAATAGAAAATGCCATATAGTTCCTTCTGAAGTTCAGAAATGCCATAGCAACCATCATGGTATAGAGTTGCCCTTTACAAATCTTACAGGACAACATGGTACTTTCTCAAAAATCAACAGGAACACATAGCTTTAACAGCTTCCAGGGGAAAGGGCAAGTAATGACATATTAACAGAAAAGGTATAATGGAAAGTGAAAAAAGTAAAGAAGTTTGCTCTCCATGTATTATTATCTGGCGTTTTGACCTTATCATAAAAAAGACCTTTATAGTACAAAAAGGTCTTTAAGAAATGTAAGAAATGCAGACTGTACAGCTGATGCTTCAGCAAAATCTTCCATTTAAAAATAATTCCAGACAAATAATACAAATAGGTACATGCATTAATCTCTGTTGGAAGACAGTAGTTTGCAAAAAAGCTTAAAATGATCAGCCTTAAATGTTAAATATCCTATTTTAGTATCTGCCATTTTTTAGCCTGCTCAGTGAGCTTAGCACTACTGCTATAATTTATATGATTAACCTTGTCAAGGAACACTTTAGAGTGCTCAAGAAGACTCACTCTGGACTATCATTATGTGCAAAAAGGAAAGGTGCTTTATGTCTGGGAGTATTTCAGTTAGCTAAACACAGAATTAATGGTACCGTGGAATCATTCTCTGTATATTTGGACAGGTTAGAAATATTTCATTTCTTGTCCTGTTTCCCTTTGAAAAAGGGAAACAATAAAAATCTCAGTAGAAGATAATGTATGTAGCTCAGGACTGAAATGTGGAGTCCTTGGTGCTCTTTGAGCTTGGTTGTTGTTTCATTAAAAACATCTGCAAGCAAATTTTATTTAAAAAATCTAAGAAGGAAATAAAAAGACCAGAACACATGCTTTATAGCAGTCAATACCCAGATAAACAAGGATTAATATCAGACAAACAAGCAGAAAACAATAGTGTAACTAAGGAGAAAATGATAACCCATCAATAATGACAGGGCAAGCTACTCTATATAATCAGGGAGTGAATGAGGCACTCACTAGCCCTAATGATGTTAGTTAGGTAAAGAAATGTCTGGAAACAAGCAAGCTCAGAGAGCACTAAGGTCTCCAATAATAGAAAGATTTTTCTTTCCAAACATATTTGTAAGCAACCTTAAATTTTATTTTAAGTAATATGCATAGGGGCTATGTAGCCTGGCATTATTTTCAGATTCATTTTTACATTCTATGAAGCTTAAATGAGATATACAGAGTTCTAAAATGTAGTTCCATATAAAACATATGGTGCTATATAATGTTTATCACAGGTGGCCCACCTGCTTTCCTTATCTTTGAATTTGTAAGAATTTTCAATTGCCATGTGTAAAATGTATATATTTGCATCATATTATTAACATTTACAATCATTTTACATCATCCTTTAAAATACCGTATTTCTTTCTATTGAAAGTAATATTTGAAATTATATGCAATTTTGAGTTTTACATCTTTTTTTGTTGCCCTCTTACAAATATTTGAAACTAATAATTTTTAACATATTCTTACAAAAGAAGCCAAAATGCAATGAAAATAAATTCTAGGTTATATTTTAATTTCAAGGTGCCCAAAGTATTTACTTTTGTATAGCAAGCTTTTGAAACTCATTTTTTAAACAAAACTAAATAAGATGGCTATTTATTTGAGTGAAGTGCCAAATGTTCAGTTTTTACATTTCTTTATTTTCCAAATATTTTCATTCCACTAAATCATAATTGGTTGCCCTTTTAGAAGATAAATTATATTTAATCATTTCAGCTTATAAAGTTCAAGTCTCTTTGTGAATATCTTTAATACAGGAAGAATGATATGATATGATCAAACATTGGAAAAGCAATTGTTGAAGTATGGTTAAAAATAAAAAGCCATACAATCTTACAAATAGAGAGAAAATTGATCATTTTTCTGTGTATTTCTTTTTGCCTGATATACAAGTCCTGATATAGTATGCAGAGGTTACAGAAGAGTGAATTTCTTTAAATAAGTGGGGGAAAAGAAGTTAAAGTTGAATAATTATCCTATATGAAATATTTTTTTCCACTTAAAAAAGTTTATAACTAGTATCAACATCCTTCTTAAAGTTAAAGTTATCAAAGCTGAAAATGCAACTGATCCCTATGATGTACAAAGATAGTGGAAATATCCCATGGGTTATGTGCCCCTCCTCTGTAATACAGATTGCAAATATTTACACCACTCTAACACATTTGGGTATATGGGGATGTGATTCCACCATCAAGATTGGTGAATTTAACATTTTGTAATTCCTGTACTATGGATATCATACTGCCATTACCCTAAGTCTTTTTTCTTGGCACAGACTCATTCACCCATACACACTGATTTCCAGTTCAGCCTGTTCAACCTCCTGAATTCTTAATTTGTAGTATCTGTTTGGATTTAATGAGAAGCCAAGGAACAATCAAAGTCAAAAGAACCAAATGTGTTAAACTTTCTTATAAATTCAGTTTATAAATATTACCTATCCTTCCTCCAAGATATTGTTAAAATGTGAAAAATGCTAACCATGAATTGCTAGCAACAATAATACTGAAATAAATATCCATGACACCACTAACAGGTTAGGGTAGGGTAAAGGTTTACTATTTGTCTTTTCATATTCCTCCCTATCCGAGTTTTTGTATTTAACTCAGTTCCTGTGCTGAGCAGAAAACAAATTGAGTGAAGAAATTCTAAAAGCATGAGAATGCCACTTGTGTGAAATATGGAAGAATCAGAAAATATATTGTTACTATTAACAATAGAAGGGTAAATAGTCCCAGCACTCTCTGAAGCTGACATTTCTGAGAGCGGTTCAAGATCTTTAAAATGAAATATTTGATTTCAAAGAATGCAAATATATATTTTTATTTTCTTTCTAAACATTTGGTTTGTGCCTTCGTTCTTTTCCAGTTGAATTAGACCATATTCTTTTGATTCTAGTTTTAATTAATCAACATTTCACCTTTTGTCAGAAGCAATGTAAAAAGGATTTCAATAATCCCATACTAGAAAAGTATTATTTAAACCAAAAGAAACTGTTTGTATAGGCCGCTCATATTCAAAATGAGAACAGGAAAAAACTCCAAAGATTCCAAATTAATTAACTAACAACTGATTTTCCAAAACATTTTGGCTTATCCTCTCATGCTATAACTATGTCCTTTTCTAACTACAAATATGAATTGGTGATTTGTTGTAGCTAAGGTACATGATATAACAATCAAAAGAAAAAATATTTTTGATCTATGATCTGGGAGGGGTAGAAAAGATCAGCTACCACAGGAAATTCTGAAACTCCACCAATCAGTACCCTTTTTCTTTGTTCAAGAAAGAAAAATATAGTACTTACCCAAGAGTTGTCATGGTGACAATAGTATACCAAAATGATGCTGGAATGCTAGTGAACTTGCTGGCAGAAGATCCTTTCTCTGCATAAAACATCACAGTAGCAAAGATAATAATTGCCATCGTGAGTGAAAAGAGAAGAAAACCAAGCTCAGACGCACAGCTCTTCAGTGTGTACCCCAAGATTCGTAAGCCTTGGGAGTGACGGGAGAACTTGAAAATCCTGAATACTCTGAAAACCCTCAGAGTCACAAAAGCTCCACTGACATCCTCATTGCCAGTCATCACCAAACCTATGTAGTAGGGCATGATGGCCACCACATCAATGATACTCATCACACTCCTGACGAACCGGTACCGACTGGGAGCTGCAAAGAGTCGCATCAGATACTCGACTGTAAAAATCATTACACAAGCTGTGTCCAAACAGAAAAAAGCCATTTCATATCTCTCCCCACATGGCTGTTCTTTGTTGCCAGGCATTGAGCCACACGGTACGGTCTCCACCACATTGGTGATCACAGAAACAGCAATAAAGAAGCCCGTGACATAGTAAAAGACTAAGGCTAAGGTGCTAGTATGAGGGTTCTCAAAGGCTCGCCACATGGTCTGCCGGAAGCTCAGGGCTGGCATAGAGTCTTGCTTTTTCTCGGAATCCGCATCATCCATCAATCGCTCAGCATTTTCCCGCTTTCTGTCCTTGTACTCTTCATAACAGCAGTCCCCGATGATATCAGGCAGGATCCCATAAAAAGCAAGCTCCTCATCATAAGCTGAGATACACTCATACCTTGGGTAATGTAGTCTACCAGTTCTATAAAAGTTTAAGATACACCTAAAGACATCGGGATCCCGGTCAAAAAAGTATTCCTTGGTGTCTTCATTAAAGAAGAACTCTTTTTCTGTGCTGCCAAGTAGTGTATCAGGGTATCTCTCCAATGTAGTCCTCCATGTCTGGAAACGCCGGCCACTCACATTGAGAATGATTAGCTCATCTTGGCGCTTATTTTTTTCTGTTGGGGCTAGTGGCATGGGACAGTTGGCCACTGGCATCCAACCTATGGCAGCTGCCCTCGCAAAAGGAAGCCATGCTGCTACACCTGCTGCCATGATGAATCTGGTCTCAGGATGGAGGAAAGCAGTTCTTCAAAAAGTCCTTGGCTTCAGTTCAAATCCATCTAAAAATACAATTAAAAAGACAGTGCAAGATAAGTGCCATTTTTTTGCCATCTGTGTAATGGTTAAGTAATTCTCTCTAGCAACACTTAGTCATGGTAAAGGTGTGGGAGGTAAGAATGCAGTAGTGCTCCACAGAGTCTTTAAAATACAAGAGACAATTTTTTTAGTGATAACAAATGCACCACAGAACTTCTTAACAACATCTTCAAAAGAACTCCTGGAAACTAAATGAAGATTAAGAAAAATCAACTGCCAGAAGCTTGGTGTTCTGGTTAAATACTCCAACTCTAAAGTACAAAAGCATCAAGCATACTAAAATCATGACTTTGGATTAATTTGTCTCATGTGCTCATGCTCATCCACCCACAGGGAGTACAAAGAAAGAAAAGGAGAGAGGGTTTCACACTGTAAGAAATACAATAGGTAGCTGGATCATATAGTTTCTCCTTGCTTTCCCTTTTCAACTTTAAACCTTGGTAGTCAAATGAATTATTGTTTAAAAGTACTCAATGATAATCAGCAAAAGAAAGTCATTAATATAGGTACATTTTTTGAATAGTAAATCATTCTTCATTAAACATAATTTAAAGTGGCGCCAATATGTTCATTTAAATTTGCTTCCTTATAAACAAGCTTAAAATAGCTTTTCTCAAGAGTAAATGCTGGGCCCTAATTGAAAAAAACCCCACTGATATTAAGTTACACAATGTTTGTAGAAGAACCATTATTAGAATGCACACATATGTATATCTAGAAATAAGTTGGAGAAATCATTTTGTATGTTTTTGTTTGGTTTGGTTCAAATCCACCATAAAGTGTTAAGCATAAATGTAGTGAGAGCAATTATAACAGCTTAGCAATTATCCAGCACATTGTTAAACAACTAGGTGAACAGATTTGCACAGATTTTTGATTAGGCAATTGACTTATGTTGGCCATCAAATGGTTTTGAACAATATTTGAACAATATTTGTAGCAGAGTGTTAAACCATTATAATAGACCAGAGTATCAGAGTAATTTCCCAAGAGCTTAGGAATCTCCTGCATTTCTGTAAATAGACTCTCTGAAAGGGGCACCTGTACTCATAAAGTCTTCCTTGTAGGTTTTATTTCAAAATACAGGGTTGGATTTAGTTTTCAGGATATACAAATGCAGATAGCTATACAAATGTCAGGATATGTCCAAAACCCCAACTCTGGAGAATCAATGGGTAAATAATATTTTAAAATATTCCTGTTATTGAGAGGCCCACTAAAAATACATAGTTTATACCCAATATATGTTACTCAATATCCAACTATAGAATCTTAAGCCTGCTAAAATCTAAAGTGAAGTTGTCATACTCTTTTCGTAGTTTACCTTTGATTTTCTTTGCATTTATACTCAAATATGCATAGTCTATTGATTTATTTTATATATTTATATGTCAGATTTTCACTTTATGGTCTGTAAAATGATTTGTAATCAATAATATAATCTAATTATTTAAAGTCATGAAAACTGAGCAATATACATGCAAGTCTTGATAGAACCATTATATCAAAGGGGGGGGAAGTACAGAACTCAGCACTCTGGTTGCTCTTGAGTTTGGATGTTCTTATAGATATAAATTATAAACAAATAAATAATACAAACTTTATAACATTGACAGTTTTGTGCAAGGCAACAAAATTTACAGTTTTAGCAAAATGGCAGAACTTCTAGCAAACATCAAGTCACAAGAATGCTATTAAGATGTTGACTAACATCTGACCGGTTCTATGGCCAGTTTTAATGGCATAATTGACAAATTGGATGGAAATATAAAGCTGAAGAGGTGAAGCCATATATTGAAGTGAAGGCTTGAATCTTAATGTTTGGCCAGCAGCGTTGCTCTTGTTCACCTGTTTGAATGAGATGTTCCCAGTTATTCCCAGAAAGGATATAAATATTAATCTCTGTAGTGCTTTCCATCCTTATCAACATCTGGTAACCTGTCCATCAATTATACAATTGACATTTCAAAGCTCTCAACAGTTTTCAAAAGCTTCTTTCCACGTCTCCTATCTAGCATAATGAGAGATATTTTGTTACTTAATATATAACATTCGGTGTTCCATACTCAGGTAATCCTGTTTGGATTATTATTATAAGGTATTACAAATGGGGCTATTTCTGAAAATACTGCAGCAGTTTCACTAAGTACATAATATACCTGTAAGATCAAGTGTGTAGAAATCAGGCCTCCAGTTCAATTGCAGATCCAATTTGAAATGTTGGGTTTTTTACCTGTAAAACCTTTCTGAACTTCAGATCTTAGTATCAAAAGAGCTTTCTCATCCTACATGTTCCCAGCCAAACCTTGATGTTACCAGAAGAGTTGTTTTTTCATGTATGGTGTATTTTTATGAAAGAAAAGTCATCATTCGATTACAGAATATTCTCCCCAGAGAGCATACCTGGTAACATTGTAATATCTTTGTGGCATGAGGCTTTTATTGTTACATTTTCATAGCACATTCCTGAGTGTTTTTCCAGAATTTTAGTTCTAGGCATTTTTTATATCCCTATGTCTGCTTTTCAAATTGTTGCAGTGTTTGGAAGTCTCTGTTCCCTAATATAAAATGGACTTGTGATTTTGCTGTAGTATTACAGTGGTTATATTCTAGAGATGCAAACATATTCAGTTTGTAGATTTGGCTAAAATTTAATGCAGAGCATCAAATCAGTTTTGATGTCATTGAATTGAATCAACAATTCAGTGGAGTTTGGGACACTTTTTTTAGACAAATCAAAAATAAGTATTGAATCTTCCTGTTAAATAGATGAAGTTGTCTATCCAAAGTGAATTGACTTCATTTCCCAATATATGTTACTCAATATCCAACTATAGAATCTTAAGACTGCTAAGATTAACCATTTAAATTAGATCATACCTAATTAGCATGTGTTTACTATATTCAATATTTTGTTTACTCCACTAACATTTGAAAACATTTTGATTGATTGTTTTCATAACAATATATAGTCTCTCTTTCCCTATGCACTTTATGTGATTTGGTCCATTATTTGGCCCATCAGAACCTCATTTGTCAATTTAGCTTATTTATCTGGTATCATTTTACCATCAGATATCTTACATGTATAGAGAGTTCTATAGCTATATTTTGACAGTGAAGGAACTGATGTCAACATATCTTTGAAATGTTAAATAAGAACTGAAAGTATCACTGTCACTAAATCATTGCAAAAAACTGTCTTGAAAACAATTATCTTGCAATTAAACAATTCAATGATATATTTTTTTTTAGAAATAAAATAAAATCAGCTGAAATGCAGGATGGCAAACTAATGAAGAAAAGCTAAGCCAAGTCCATGATTTAATTATAATTGATTATTTATTTATTAGATTTGTGTGTCACCCATCTCGTCTATTTATTTGTTTGTTAAATTTATTTGCCGCCTATCTCACCATGGGGCATCTCTATTCTATATACCATACAAATGTATATATTTATTTTAATACAGGAAATATTTTGAAAATTGAAATATTGGAATAGTCTTGAAATCACATTGTTAAAAAGAATTTGTGTCCTTCCATACACCAGTAGAAGGCATCATAATTATTTTCAAATTAAGAAGGGAAATGAAAAAGACAATCCAAGGCCTACATTCATTATCAGAACTAAAAGGAAAAAAAAGGTGAAAGGTGAAAGATAATGTATTACTTCATTTAATACCTTAAAAATCAAGGTATTAAAACAAAGGGTGATATCAATGTTTAAACCACTTATTAGAATTTTAGAATGAATCTCAATTTCATGCCCATATTTAGTTGCAAGACCCTTCATATACAAGCCTAATTTGGTATTTCTTTTAACAATTAAGATAATACAATGAAAGCTGATATGTATTCAAATACAAAAAGAGGCCCAGTTTTTAACCATGAGCTGCCCAATTCTACTCTTCTTTCAAGAAAAACAGGAGTAAATAATGCTCTGAAACACTTTTTTTTTACTTTTCACAATATGTAATAAATTCTTAATAACCACAGAATTTTCAGGTTTGTTACTTAATACATAATGTTTGTCTAATTTATTAAAATGTCCTTACTATAAGATGCAAAGTGAAATATAGCATATGGGCTTTTAGCTTATTGGCAGAACATAATCCTAAATAGATTTAGAAAAGAGAGCTGAACATAAGCAGAGTTTGGAAAATATGAGTACCAAAAAATTATGGAGTTTTAGAAATATATCCTCACTAAACTAAATATATCAGCAAGATATAAAAAAGGGAAACAAACAATCCATTTCATCTCTAAAAGAAGAAACTCCATTGATACAAACTTTATAGAAAACAATCTGTATCAGCTGATGTGAACCACCACATCAAAAGTTTAATTCAATGTAATTCCTAAGATAATTTTGTCAGTTAACTGAAGTTCCAGTACATTGATCAGTTGTAGGATGGGTAAGGGTAAAGAATAGCAGATAAGAACAAATCAAATATTCTTGCAACATTTCCACTATGACATTACAGCCTACTCAGGCAGGGTTTGTGCTTGAGAAACACTGTATCAAAGTCATGCAAGACAGTTTAACCAATTCCACATGACTTGTCTTCATAGGATATTAGGCATCAGTTGACAAGACAAAGTACCAGACACTGAAGTTTTATCTAGAGCATGTCTACCGTCAGTCCACACACTTCTGATGAAAGCACAGGGAAGGTTATGTCATATGTATACCAGATGAGCACATACCCAAGCAACTCCTTTTGGGAAGCTTCCTACTGGAAGAGGCTCAAATAAGAAGAAATAATACAAAGGCCTCCCTGACATCACTTGATATAAAAACAACCACTGGGAAGTGCTGGCACAAAGCCACTTTGTGGTCTTATCCATAAAGGTGGTCAAATTTATGAAGCAAGGCACATTGCTGAAGCACAA